TTAAAGGCGCTAGCAGTCACCGACGTAAGCGTACGTTCACGTGTCAGTTGACACCATCAAACTTATGAGGGCGCCATGTAAATGAAAACTCACCATCGTGTACGTGCGACTATTACGCGTGACGTGGACTGCTTGGTGGAGTGCAATAACGCCCGCGAAAAACGCCCATGGGCTTTATTTCTTTCTTTAGGAAATAAAGCCCATGGGCGTTTTTTTCGCGGGCGTTATTGCACTCCACCAAGCAGTCCACGTCACGCGTAATAGTCACACGTACACGATGGTGAGTTTTCATTTACATGTCGCCCTCTTTCTCTAGGAAATAAAGCCCACTGACGTTATTGCGTTTTCGAAAAAGAAATTAAGCCCGCGGGCTTTATTGCTTTTTGCCGGTAGGCATTACTTCTCTTTCAATATGGCAATAACGCCCGCGGGCTTCATTTCCTAAAAAATGAAATAAAGCCCGCGGGCGTTATTTCATCTCTATTGTGGCTCTTGTCTCCAATTTGGAATATGTACATCCAAGACCCCCTGTTCTAAATACAAACTAACTAATATGATAACATTGAACTAAATATTTGTTTTCCTTTATTATACGAAGAAATTGAAATTAACAAATTTCAATGCATATATTTAATAAATATGTATGTATGTATGTACATGTGTTTGAAAATTAAATAATTCAAAGTTTCAACAAAAAAAGGAACATGAAAAAGTAAAAAGTTAAATAAATGTTTTCGTCGATTGCCGAATTATTTGAAGGCAAATTGGACACAAAATGCTTGTATTACCATTTAGATTAGTACGCGTACTGTGCTCTGCAAAGCAATTTGTGCAAAGTTTAAAATGATTGGCCGAGCTTCTCCTCCGTTTGGCAGTGTGTGCCTTGATGTCACATAAACCACTCGACCACGGTTGATTTATTTTATTCTGCCCTTTACTAGTTTTTGTTGTTTGCGAAATCAGTCGTCTTGTCAGTTAAAACAACCCGTGCGTCATCCACATCACCACAGTATTTCTGCGGCGTGGGTACACAAACAACCCCAACTCCTCATTTTACAAATAAATTTTCCGGCGTAATGGCGAGGGAAGGAACCGAGCCTGTTGGCGCTCAACCGCGGTGGCCCGCACGTGCCGCGACCGTCCAAGTTTGCGCGCCACCACTGAAAAACCTAAGACGCTGAGAACAAATATGCGCATCGCATTGAAGGCTAAAAAACAGTAACAATTTACCTTTAATTTCCAATAATTTGCCTATAAGTTATTGGCAAAAATACCGTTCGATTTTATGCGTATACTTCAGAACTACACTGTATGCAAAAATAAAGAGCAATTCGCTTAAAATACGTTCCATTTTATGCAAAATGTATGCCTGTATACATAATTGAAATGCTTCAGTAAAATAAAGCTTTATTCCTTTTTTATGCAATAAATCAAGCGGGCGTTATTTCCTTTTCTTTGGGAAATAAAGCCCACGGCTATTATTGCTCTTTCGCAAAGGAAATAAAGCCCGCGAGCTTTATTGCCTCTTATTGGTGGGCGCTATTTCCCCTTCGAAATGGAAATAACACCCATGGGTTTTATTTCTCTCCTTTTTGGGAAATAAAGCCCATAGGCGTTATTTCCCCAGGCGTTATTGCACTCCACCGTACTGCTTCTCTCTCTCTCTCTATCTACAGTAAATTGTATATGATGCTTCGTCAAACAGACACGGCATAGTACACGTCGAAGAGTGTGGGCAACTAAGAAAACATTTTCCTGTAGACTTATAAATAAATAAACAGGAATATTTTGTGCTTCGTGTAAGTACATATGTATATATTTGCAAGAACTTAAAATTCCCGTGATTTAGACATTATTGAAATTCATTTAAGTATAGCTCTTTTCAATTCTTTTTAGATTATAATATACATACATTTGTAGGGAAACGCATAAATTCTTCGCTATTCGCCGAATTCCATTGCAGGTTCATTCTAATCCACTTCGACCTCTTCTTCAGAGTTGGTATCATTGCTAGAATGTAGCGTTATTTCGATTTCGATGATCGAATTATTATGATGACCGTCGCCACCGGCTTCTTCATCAGTTATTATTTGTCTACTAGACACATGTTCAGCGATAAACGTGTTATCTATATTTTGAAGTTTGGACTGACTGTGAATAGAAGTATTTTCAGTGATCAAACCATCGTTTATTAAATGGAACTCTTCATTTTCGTTAGACTGTTGTAAATCAAATACAGCGTAAGAATTTAGCGTTTGTTGTGGTGTGCTTATATCCGTTTTTGCGGATAGAACTTCATCGGAAGGTACAAAAGGTTTTTCATTGTCATCACGCAATCGTGGTTCTTCATCGCAATCATGGTTTATAGTTCTACCTGGCAGCATAATGTCTTGCGATTCCGGTTTGGAAAGATTTTGATTTAAAGGGGCGTTAATCTTTGTGTCGTGTTCTCTACAATAGTTACGAACTATGTTCTTCTGCGAAGCGCGATCAGAAGAAATCAACGAAGGCGAGGACCTTTCAAAAACTGCACTTGCTTCAAGGTTTTGTTGAAAAGCGTAATTTTGATTCTGGCTATATTTTAAGCCGAGGGAGCGTTTGTTATCGCTTACGATATTACCTCTGCTCCTTATATTCCGTCTATAGCTACTGGAACAGCTAAAACTGCATGCTTGATTTCTTTTTCTTCTTATCAACTCCACAAGGTTCACGCATTCTTTTACGCGGTGTCTTCGCAATTTGTTATGCTTCATAATGACAAAAGTTGCATTTATGCCTGACCAGTGAAAGTTAAAATACGAGTATTGTTGGAAACTCAGAATTTTGTGTTGTACTAAGTAAATTCTTATTCTTACTGAAAAATATATGTATTTAACAACGTTTAATGCAAAATTTAAAATTTCAATTTAATTTTTAATGACTTTAAGTCATAAAAATTCAATGCAAAATTGATACTACACAAAATTTGACTACAGTTAAAAATGCTTTACAGTCGAACAAATATATAAGTTTATGTTCACACAGAAAGCTATGCGGAGCCGAGCTAAGGGAGGCTGTTGGTGTTCACACTGAACAAAGCGGGCTGTAAAGTTATCTCAAAAATTACCTTCAATGACAACAGGCAAAATATTTGTTCAATTTGCTGCAATTGCTTGCTCTAACAATACATTTTCATTTACATATTTAAATTTTTTGTTCATATTTATCAGCATCAAGAGTCTGAAAAATCTAAAGGAAAATTTAAAATCAAATCAGCTCCAAAAAACACTTCTGAGAATGCTTGCTGTATGAACACGTTTATATAGACACACTGATTTGAAAGCTTCGCCCCGCACCCTAAAGCAATCAGTTATGCTTAATTATCCTTCTAGGATTTGAAAGACAATTCCATCGCTAACCGACAAGATGCCATTACTTCGCCGCTATTGGGAATTAATATCGGGATAGGACCTACGAAAAAAATTCTATTGCCCCGTTTACATTATTCCAGTAGCATGCCAATCCAGTGAGGCAGCCCAGCGCTGAATCGTTACTAGCATAGAATAAACAGGAACTGACATGAACTGATTCCAGTGATCGGACTTCTACCACATTGTTGTAGATCTGCCATTTTTTGACCATCTACCACATATTCGCATTTATGAGTAGTTTTATTTTTGCTCGACATAATTTTCTTAATTTTAAGAGAAAAAATTGTCCAACACTAAACACTAACAACAGGCAGAATGGGATTGTAAATTAAACTGTAAAACATTAAATTTTCTCAATATTCAATTTTTCGACAGTAAACGTGGTTCTTCTTCTTATTTGGCGCTGTAACCGCCTAAGCGATTTTGGCCGAGTCCAAAACAGCACGCCAGTCATTTCTCTTCTGTGCTAACTGACGCCAATTGAAAATGCCAAGTGAAGCCAAGTCCTTCTCCACCTGGTCTTTCCAACGCAGAGGAGGCCTTCCTCTTCCCCTGTTCCCAGCATCGCGGCCCGCGTTGAATATTTTCAGAGCAGGAGCGTTTCTGTCCATCCGAACGACATGGCCAAGCCAGCGGAGCCGCTGAATTTTAATTCGCTGCACTATGTCTATATCGTTGTAAAGCTCATACAGCTCATCGTTAAATCGTCTGCGATATTCGCCATCACCAACGCGTAAAGGTCCGTAAATCTTTCGCAGAATCTTTCTCTCGAAAACTCCAAGAGCCGCCTCATCAGATGCTTTCATTGTCCATGCTTCCGCGCCATACACCAGCACAGGCATGATGAGTGACTTATAGAGTGTGATCTTTGTACGACGAGAGAGGACTTTACTTCTCAATTGCCTACTCAGCCCAAAGTAGCACTTGTTGGCAAGAGTGATTCTCCGTTGGATTTCAAGGCTGACATTATTATTGGTGTTAATGCTGATTCCCAAATAAACGAAGTCGTCTACTTTTTCAAACTTGTAACTGTCAACAGTGACGTGGGTGCCAAGACGCGTATGCTCTGACTGTTTGTGTGCTGACAGGAGATACTTCGTTTTGTCCTCGTTCACCACCAGACCCATTCGCTTTGCTTCTCTATCCAATCCCGAGAAGGCAGAACCGACGTAGCCCTTGTTTTTACCGATAATATCGATGTCGTCGGCATACGCCAGCAATTGTACGCTCTTATAAAGTATTGTGCCTGAGCGGTTCAGTTCTGCGGCTCTTATTATCTTCTCCAACATAAGATTAAAGAAATCACACGAAAGTGGTTCCCCTTGTCTGAAACCTCGTTTGGTATCAAACGGCTCGGAGAGGTCCTTCCCTATTCTGACGGAGCTGGTGGTATTGCTCAACGTCATTTTACACAGCCGTATTAGTTTCGCGGGGATACCAAATTCAGACATCGCGGCATAAAGGCAACTTCTCTTCGTGCTGTCGAAGGCGGCTTTGAAATCGACAAATAGATGGTGTGTGTCGATCCTATTCTCGCGGGTCTTTTCCAAGATTTGGCGTATTGTGAATACCTGATCTATGGTGGATTTTCCAGGCCTAAAGCCACACTGATAAGGTCCAATCAGCTCGTTGACGGTGGGCTTCAGTCTTTCGCACAATACGCTCGATAAGACCTTGTAACCTATGCTTAGAAGGCTAATTCCGCGGTAGTTGGCGCGTATGGCGGGGTCGCCTTTCTTGTGGATTGGGCAGAGCACACTTAAATTCCAGTCGTCGGGCATGCGTTCATCTGACCATATTCTGCATACGAGCTGATGCATGCACCTCATCAGCTCCTCGCCGCCGTACTTGAATAGCTCGGCTGGCAGGCCGTCAGCTCCAGCAGCTTTGTTGTTTTTCAGCCGCGTAATCGCTATTCGTACCTCGTCATAGTCAGGCGGTGGGACAGCTACTCCATCATCATCGACTGGGGACTCGGGTTCGTCTTCCTCACTACTTTCAGCGCTGCTACCATTCAGTAGGTTATAAAAGTGTTCCCTCCACAATTTAAGTATATTCTGGACATCGGTCACTAGGTCGCCATTGTTGTTCTTACAGGAGTTCGCCCCGGTCTTGAAACCTTCCGTAAGTCGCCTAACCCTCTGGTAGAATTTTCGGGCGTTCTTCCTGTCGGCCAGCATCTCAAGCTCTTCGCACTCACGTATTTCGGCCTCTCTCTTCTTATTGCGGCAAATACGTCTCGCTTCCTTCTTCAGTTCCCTATAACGGTCCCACATGGGTCGCGTTGCGCCCGATCGCAGCGTGGCCCTGTAGGCGGCATCTTTTTTCTCTGCGGCTTCTTGACATTCCTCATCGTACCAGTTGTTCTTTCGGGCTCGCTGAAATCCAACTACTTCTTCGGCGGCGGTACTTAATGATCGGGAAATGTGGTTCCACTGCTCGCGTACGTCGGATTGTTGAAGAGTGCTCTCAGAGAGCAGGTGTGTGAGTCGAGTGGCGAATAAATTGGCCGTCTGTTGTGATTGCAGCTTTTCGACGTTAAGCTTTCCTTGCATTGTTGGGCGCACATTTTTTGCTGCACAGAGGCGGGTGCGTATCTTGGCTACAACAAGATAGTGGTCCGAGTCGATGTTTGGCCCTCGGAGTGTACGTACGTCCAAAACGCTTGTAGCATGCCTTCCGTCTATCACAACATGATCGATTTGGTTTCTCGTTTTTCGATCTGGAGACAGCCATGTAGCTTGGTGGATGTTCTTATGCTGGAACCTAGTACTACATATTACCATATTTCGGGCCCCGGCGAAGTCGATCAGCCTCAGTCCGTTATCGGACGTTTCGTCGTGGAGGCTGAATTTTCCGACAGTGGCGCCAAAGATCCCTTCCTTGCCCACCTTGGCATTAAAATCGCCAAGCACGATTTTGACATCGTGTCGGGGGCAGCGCTCATATGTACGTTCCAAGCGCTCATAGAAGAGATCCTTGGACGCCTCATCCTTCTCTTCCGTCGGGGCATGGGCGCAGATGAGCGAGATGTTGAAGAATCTAGCTTTGATGCGGATTGTGGCTAGACGTTCGTCCACCGGGGTGAACGCCAGTACTCGGCGACGGAGTCTCTCTCCTACCACGAATCCAACACCGAATTTGCGCTCCTTTACGTGGCAACTGTAGTAGACGTCGCAAGGCTTCACGCTTACTTTACCTTGCCCCGTCCATCGCATTTCTTGGATGGCGGTGATGTCAGCCTTTGTCTTCCCGAGGACATCAACCAGCCGGGCAGAGGCACCTTCCCCATTAAGGGTCCGGATATTCCAGGTGCATACCCTTAAATCATAGTCCTTTATACGTTTGCCGTGGTCGTCATCAGAAAAAGGGGGTCTCATCCGAGGCTTGTTGGAATTTTTCATTGGGCGGGGTTTTAACGTGGCGGGACCCAAACCCAGCGCACGCGAAGTTTTACGCCTTCTCACTTTAGCTCGCTCCCAAACGGGTGTTTGGTTGCTACCCAGAGGATACGTGGATATAAATATCCGGACGTTGTGAGCTGCGATTTGAACCGTATGCACAAGAATCGCTTCTGGCCACTCCCAGGTGAATGTCAGTCAAAAGTTTTCCACTTCTGCGCACGGAACCATCGTCCAAACGTGGTTATATTATGTTAAATTACAAAATAATGATTTATAAAAATAATTAATAGCGTAAATTAAAAAAAACGGCTATTTTTGTGAAAATATTGGCAAATTTCAGTGCATCTAAAGTTTCTAAAGCGTTGTTTACTTTCAGTTGAGAATTGTCAAAATCGGCAAATCCCATGTAGCGGTTTCTGGAACGTGCCACATTTGTTCGCTACATCGTGATGTGATATAAAGAAAAGCTGTCAGCACTCTGCAAGGTTGCAGAAACCTTTCAAAATATGTTCAAAAAATAGCAGGGACATCAACCGGTTTTGAACCGGAAAACCGTTTTTTTCTATTAATTAACTGAACCTTTAACAGAACCGAAATTTTCCACAAATGTTCGAACCGAAAACCGAACCACTTTCTATAAAGGTTTAAAGGTTCGTTTCAACCAATTTTCCAGGGACGTGAATCGGATGAAAAATTTGGTCGGTTTGGTTCAGCGGTTCGAACCGTTTTTGCACTTTTGGATGGGTTCGCCGAAGCAGTTTTTTGGTCTTTAAACCGGGGTTTCGGTTCGGTTCAGCGGTTCGAAAAACAAAAAAATAACGTGGAAGTTTAAGTGTCACGTGCCAAGTGCATCAACGCACAAGTTTAAGTGTCAAATGAGTTGCCTTTACATTTTATATTGTCACATGCCATGTTTAACAAAAAGAAAAAAGAGGGTAC